GACTCAGATTTTAATTCACATTGGATTGATGTATAGTGGTGTCCATCACCTTAAAACTTGTATGGTTGTCGGACTCTTGATATTTATGGGTTGGCAAGTGAACTTTAAATATTATAATTGAGGACCCTTGGGTGATGTTTGGAACCTTGATTGAAGTCTTAACAAGGTATTTAGGTAAGATTACATAAAAAGCCCCAAGTTTGAGTTTGAGTTTTTGATCAACCTTCACTCTTTTGCCCTTTTCTCCTTCCATAATTCGAATTTGAATGTGAGGTCGGAACCATTGGAAATCTTGTTTCCGGGGCTTCAATTTGGATACAAGAACGACCTAAAACGGAGTCCAAATGAGAAAGTTACACCTATTTAAATTTTGAGTTTCTGTGCTGGAAACATGCTCGCTCGAGCGAACCGTGCAAATTTAGCAAGTTTAAAATCACTTTTCTAGATCATTCTTCACACTTCTACCTTCTCTCTTCATCCCTCTCACCCTAGGTCCGAAAACCCTAGGGCTTTGACCTCAAATACCTTCCATTTCCCTAAGGATTGGCCAAGATCTCTTACAAAGAAATGAAGAAGGTTTGAAGATCATACTTTTCAACCGATTGAAGTTCGGATTTGTGGAAGAATCTCATCAAAGCTTTGCTCCTTTGCTTGATTCTTGAGGTAGGGGTCCTAGTTCTTCTTCAATACTTCCATAAATTGATAGATTTGTGGTATTTTGATTACATACATATAAAATCCACATTTTTGAGCATAAAGTGTACATCTTGAGATTTGGGGGTTTAGGGTTTGAAGTGTTGGTGAGTTCACTTGTTGGGTTAATGTGGTGGGTTTTGAATCTTAGGTGTTTAATCAATGGAAAAATTGGAATAAAAAGTAGTGGTTTAAGAAGTTTGAATTTTTCTTGAAATTCTTGATTTTCTTGAAACCCTAGGTTGATTCATGATGATAAATAATGATTTTGCCCAAATTAAAAGTAGAATCATGAAATTGGTAGGTTGAATTCTATATGTTCAAGTTTAATTGGATTTTGGAGATGTTTCAAAATTATGTTAAAAATTAGCGATTGAACCTTTGTTATGGATATTGTAAATTATACTATAATATGAAATCAAGATTGGGGAAATGATTTATTAATGATATGGATGACATAAGCCTTGGGGTGAAATGATGAAATAGAGGTTTAAGAGTCCACTTTGAATCATGTTGAATAGTGTTGATTATGTTGAATTGTGTTGATTATGTTGAGTTGTGTTGAATAATGTTGAACCGAATTGTGTTGAACTATGATGAATTGTGTTTGAATCATGTTGAATTGCGTTGAGTTGAGTTGTGTTGGGTGGTGTTGTGTTGTGTTTGAGTTGTGTTGGGTGATGTTGTGTTGGTAAGCATGGGGGGAGTTGAAAGATGATACAGAACTTGTGATAAGATGATGAAGTGAAGATTTAAGAATTTTATTGTGTAATTAGAAAGTGATTTTGTTCCTTAAAACTAAAAGTCCAACTTTATATTTAACAATAGTTATGGAGTTTCATTTTGGAAGATGAGGATACTTCAATCAACATTAAATTTATGAAACTAAGTCTATTTTGGATTAAGATGAGTGTGAATAATGATAAATGGGAGATTGTGAAATATGACAATGTTATATAAAGGAGTTGTATCAAAAAAAATTAAATGTTGGAGATTTAATTTATAACCATGGGTAGTAATTGATAATCAATGTGTTTAAAAAAAAAAAAAATTGAATTTGAAGACTTGATGATAATATGAAAAAGTAAAGAAATAGTTTGAACTCAAGAATTGTGAATACTTTGAAGATGAATCTTTGCCTCTATGGAGGTGTTGTTATATTTTTGTGTGACAAAACAATGAATGGTTTAATGGATAATGAAGAAGGTTGTGGAACATATTTGTACCTGTTATGTGAATGTAATTTTAATATATGGTGGATGTATATTGAATTAATGTGTTACGAAAATAATGGAAGATGTGTTGGCATTGTCCACTAATTGTAATGATGGATTGTGATGATATCTTGGGGTCCGTTTCCCGCCGTATTTGAGCCAGCAAAGCGTGCTGCTTGAGATAGGTTCCACCTTCCTTCTGGAGTAGCGCCCGATAAAGCGTGTGGTACGTTGAGGTTCCGCGTTCCTTACAGATGGTGACCGGTAAAGCATGAGGTTTCGCGTTCCTTCCGGCTTGTGACCGGTAAAGCGTGAGGTTCCGCATTCCTTCCGGCTTGTGGCCGGTAAAGCGTGTGACTCATGGAGATGACTTGTGATTGGATCCGGTATTTGATATGAAATCAATTGAAAGAATGGAAATTGAAGTGGTAATTGGATTATGAATTGGTGATGGTAAACTTAATGAATTAGTTGCGACAATAAAGGTAAATTATGGGTATTGTTTTGTAAAATAAATAAGAGACTGAATTGAAAGGGGTTTGTTCACCTTGTGTTACCTTGAAATGAAATTTGAGAGTGTAAATAATGGTGTGAATTGAGTATAGGAGAATTGTTAGTGAATCAAAAAGGAAACTTGAACTTGAAGTTATGGAGTTCTAAATAAATATAATGAGCAGAAAGGAAGAATGAAAGAAAAAGAGGAAACATTAAAAATGGAAACTAAATGAGAAATATTTTGTGAATTGGTTAATAACTTTTTAAGGATGTTGATTTCTTAAATACGGTTGTTTCACAAGGGTCTATGTTTTTCTAAGGTTAAGGGATGATTTTAATGGCTGAAGGTTTTTCTTGAAAATATTTAAATAGTTTTTGAGAAAAAAGTGCCTTACTTATAGTATTTTGAAATTATAAAATGTCACTCTACTATATGGTATCACCCTACATGCATGATCATTTCTATCTGTGTGTTAGTTATTGATTGAGAACTATGAGATTCCTACTGGGCATTAGTGCTCACACCCTTGTTGTTTTATCTTTTTACAGGAAGAAAGTTTGGATTATTTGATTGAAGATTTATGGAGTTCTTGAGTCCCTTTGTCTAACTTCATCATAGATGTAAAGGAAATGAATTTTGTATTTGTATTTATTTATTTGTAGCACAGTAGGAGACTATCATGTATTGTTGTCATTGTAATATTCATTGAGAGAGAGAGAACATGTATCATTGTATTTCTATTACTCAAGTATAATAGATATTTGTATATGTATAAAAAAAAAATGGACCTAAATTTACAAGCTTGGTAATGTTTTCGACTAATTAAAATTCGGGGCGTGACAATGGCCGATGGGCATGGCCATGATTGGCTAAAGAAGAACAAAAGGAAAGAGAATGAGAAGGAAAAGGAAAATGAGAAAGAGAATATGAGGAGTCGAAACTTGGCAGTGGTGGTGATGGCGGCACTGCCACAGCCAGCCACCACGAGCTCGGTGGAAGGGCCATGAAGAAAGAGGAAAAGAGAATAGTTGTGGAAAGGAAGGAGGAAGGAAGAAGCATGGAGATGAAGATAAAAAAAAATAAAATAGAAAAAGAGAAAAATTTTATTTTTGACCAACTTTTGAAACTTCGATGACATGCAAAAGAGGTGGAACAAGGCATATAAGGGGCAGAATGAAAACTACACTATAAGGTGAATCCAACAAAGCAAAAATGAAGCAAAATGAAAATATGATGAGATAGATATAAGGGCTTGAACAGGTGGGTTTGAATTTTAAAAATTTGCTCTATGCGTGCTACTAAAGGAAGAAGATGAAGTGAGGTTTTCAGATTCAAACCCACATGTTCAAGCCTTTGTATATCCCTCATCCTAACTTCGTTTTGCTTTTTTTTTTTTTTACGTCATTGGATTCACCTCATAGCTAGTTTCATGCCACCCCTCATACAACTTGTTTCATCTCTTTTTGTATACCGTCAAAGCTTCAAAAGTTAGTCAAAAATAAGATTTTTCTCTTTTTATTATTATTATTATTATTATTATTATTATCATCTTCATATTCATGCTTTTTCATTCCTTATTCCTTTCTACAATTATTCTCTTTTTTTTTCACTTTTTTCATGGCCCTTCCACCGAGCTCGTGGTGGCCACCGAATCTCTAACCGTGGCGGTGCCGCCATCACCTTTCGGCACCTCCTCTTTTCTTTCTCATTTTCCTTTCCCTTTTTCTTCTTCTTGTTCTTCTTCGGCCAACCATGGCCATGGTTGTGCTACCCGGGTGCTACCTATTGCCTCTCTCCTCTAGTAGTGGCTCTTTCTTTTTCTTTTCTTGGTATGATCACACTCTGCGCATGTATATATAGCTAGTATAGGAGCAAAATGACTGCTTTTTGGGATGAAAATTGTGCCAAAAATAGAATTATCCGTAAGTTCATCAATGAAATGGATGAAGGTATAAATTGTGACCCAGAAATAACATTAAAATTTTAATTATTAAAATTGAAATCGTAAAATTTAAATTAAAAAATACATGAAATTCTGAAAAAGAAAAAATTATAGGTAAGATTAACTAAATAAACAACAATGATTCATCCCACTAAAAATATCACCACTAATAGCACTAATGCATTAAAAAAGTAAAAAAAAATAAAAAAAATACAACTCCAAGACCAAAACATCACATCATTAATGACGGGACCCACTGCCACCTAATTAGTGGGAGCACTAATTAGTGCTCCCAAGCATTTTTCCTAAATAAATGACCAAAGGTATTTAGGCCAAGTTTGGGGACTTCAAAAAAAGCCAAAAAGACACAAAGTTACTCAAAAAGTTAAAAAGTTAACACTATTCACCAAAAGTCAACAATTACGGCTGCACAACTCCCAATTCAAAATTTTCCCTACAAATCAATTTTTACAATTTTTTATTACACATTTTTCAATAAAAAGTCAAAAAGTTAACCCAAACATCCATATTTTCAACCTCAATTTTTTAGTCTAAAAAAACAAAAAGTGCACTTTTTTAATCTTCCCAAACTTGGCCTAAGTCATTTGTTTGTTTGGTAGAATCTTTGGGGGGTAGCGTTTTCCTTTTTTTATAATTTGTCCAACCTAAAATTATGGCTTTCTTCTCTCACTTGCTTTTTAAGTCGTCTATTAAAAATTCAAAAGTCTTTCTTTTGATGAAATCTGACAAAAGCAACAACTTTCGATCTTCATATCGTTTCTTCTGTGGAGAGTTGCTCATCATCAATCTCTGCTTGCTTGCTTGCTGGTATGTTTATTTCTACAATCCATTACTATCTTCTTCTGTTTCGGACCATTATTTGAGTAAATAATCTACTACAAATCTCTACTCAAATACACGATCATGTTGTTGTGTTTGTATCAATTTTACACCCAAATATATATATATATATATATGTTATTATCGATTATCACCTGGAGTGGCCGAATTATTTTTGAAACTTTAGGCGAATTCTTGAACAGAGAGGCCTTTTAATATTTAAATTTAGATGTTCTTACCTTACAAGATACAAAATTACCAATTAAGTTGTTACAATGAAATTTTTCTTAAACATATTTTTTCAATTGAGAAGAAATTTCGATGTTGTTACAAGATACTAAGCTTTTAGCAAACCTAACTATTTTGGGGCAAACCAAACCAAAAAATGGTTATTGATCTAGAACATTGTAGCAAATATGTCTTTTATTTATTTAATCTAGTACAGATATAGAAGGGAAAGAAAGGGAAAAAATAAATAAATTATGATTTGAGTATATGAGGCCTCATCAACTTTATTTTTTGGCTAGGAGGAATAACAATTTTTTGGCTAGGAGGAATAACAATTTTTTTTGAAATTGATCTGTTATTAGCAATTTTTGTTTTATAGAATAGTATATATATCATCAAGGATTTTAAAATTTTGAAGCCTTCTCAAATATGATGCCTTAGGCAGTTGGTTGTCTAATTTGTCTAATGGACGGGCCACCACTTATTATCATTGTATTCACACTATTTGTATTATTATTATTACTATTTTCTTTGTTTTAAACTTTATGAAAAAAGATATGGTATAGTTATGTCAAATTTATGGAGCTTGTATCCACACTTTTGTGTTCGTTGCAGTGCATGGAGAAGTAATGGCAGAAAGTGCAGTGAGCTCTGTTATTCAATTTTTGGGAACATTGTTAGTCGATGAAGTAGTGTTGTTGAGTGGTGTCCACGAGGAAATTTCCTATTTCAGAGATGAATTGGTGCGCATGCAGTGTTTCTTAAAAGATGCAGATTCAAGAGTAGCAGGAGGTGAGAGTGTGAAAATATATGTGAAACAATTAATTGAAGTTGCTTATTGGATAAAAGACATTTTCAATGAACACATACTTGTCTTGGCAAAACATCCTCGACGATTTGGTTTTTTCATCAGTTTCTTTCGTAAAGTCACACGATGGATCACTGTACTAAAGCAACAACATAAGATTGCTTCTCAGATCAAAGACATCAAGGTTAGAATCCATGAGATCATGGGAAGGCATGCTCGACATGGATTGACTACTTTCCTAGAACATAACAATCACAGCAGCAGTATCACCGGGAAGTGGTGGCATGACCCTCAAGTGGGTTCCCTTTACATAGAGGATGATGAAATCGTTGGCATTGAATCTCCTAAATATGAACTGATAGGCAGATTGCTGGCACAAGAAGATCAATCACAAGCAGTGATCTCAGTGGTTGGCATGGGTGGAATTGGCAAGACCACTCTTGCCATGAAAGTTTATGACAGCCAAGAAGTGGTTGCACATTTCAATTGCAAAGCGTGGATCACTGTCTCTCAATCATACGACCTAAAGGAGCTCCTCCAAACGATGATAAAGCAGCTATCAGGAATTTATGTTCCACCTGATGAGGGAATTGAGTCACTCATTGTCAAGCTAAGAGGATATTTATCTGAAAAGAGGTACGTCATTGTGTTTGATGATGTATGGGAAACTGACTTTTGGGGATCCATAAGGCATGCTTTACCCAAAAATAGTAGAGGCAGTCGGGTAATCATCACCACACGCAATGAACAGGTTGCTACATTTTGCAAAGAAACTTCAATGGATCATGTCCACGAGCTTGAAGCCCTATCTGAAGAGAAGGCTTGGGAACTCTTTTGCAAGAAAGCCTTCCGACAAGACTTTGGGGTTTGTCCCCCCGAGTTGGAGAAAGTATCACTTAAAATTGTTAGAAAATGTGAAGGATTGCCACTTGCAATCGTGGTAATAAGTGGTCTCTTGTCCCTCAAAATGAAGGTTATATCAGAATGGCAAGAATTCTATGATGGCCTGCGCTTTGAGTTGGAAAAGAATTATCATCTTACAATCCTAAAAAGAATTTTGTTGTTGAGTTATCAAGATTTGCCTTGCCACCTCAAATCATGTTTATTGTACCTTGGCATAATACCGGAGAAGTACTCCATCACACGTGGAAGACTGATTCGGTTGTGGATAGCTGAGCGTTTGGTTCCAGAGAAAGAAGGCAGAACATTAGAAGAAGTTGCAGAAGCATATTTGAATGAGCTGATCCAAAGACGCTTACTTCAAGTGTCAGAGTCAAAACTTTATGGAAGAGTAGTTACAGAGTTCCGGGTACATTATGCACTTAAACACTGTCGGGTACATCTTCTACTGCATGAGCTTATTCTCTCCATGTCTGAGGAGTTTAGTTTCTGTCAACTTTTGACAGATGAGAATTCAAGTTTCAATGGCAGAACTCGCCGGCTGTCTATGCATATGCATTATTACAGTATGGAAAAGGTTATGGAAAGCATTGGTAAATCCCCAGTTCATTCCTTTTTTCTTTTTGAAGTGGGCAAGCTGCCAAAGAAGCCCTTATTGGGTACACTAGCTGCAAAGTTCAAGCTTTTGAATGTACTAGATCTTGAGGGTGCTCCTTTGGATCAACTTCATAAAGAAGTAGGAAATCTATATTTTTTGCGGTACCTAAGTGTAAGGAGAACAGGAGTGCAGATAATTCCAAAGTCCATAGGTAATTTGCACAACTTATTGACTTTAGATTTGAAATATTCCCCCGTGAGTGAGCTACCAATTGATATCAATAAGCTTCATAAGTTGCGACATCTTCTTGCCTATTATCATAATTATGGATGTGCAAACATAGTGGATATTGTAAGAGGAGTGCGGATACAGGGAGGGATTGGGCAGTTACAGGAGCTGCAAAAGTTGTGGCATGTGGAAATAAATCATGATGATGGGCTCAGCCTAATTGAAGAGCTTGGGAATTTGATGCAGTTAAGGAAGTTGGGCATAACGAAATTGAAAAGGGAACATGGGAGGGCTCTATGTGCCACCATTGAGAAGATGAATTACCTTAAATATTTGAAGGTAGCAGCCCTAAGTGATGATGAGATTCTGGATTTACAGTATATATCATCTCCACCTCAATATCTTCAATGTCTCAACTTGGGTGGACGTTTAGAGAAGTTGCCTGACTGGATCCCAAAACTTCAAAATCTAGTCAAGTTATCTCTATTGCATTCAGGTTTGACCAATGATCCACTAAAAGCCCTTCAAGTCTTACCTAGTTTAGAACATCTTCATCTTTGGAATGCATGTGATGGGGAGCAATTGTATTTTGAGGTTGGAAGTTTTCAAAAACTTGAGCAACTAGATCTCCTTGAATTGGAAGGATTGAATTCGGTGATAATAGAGGAGGGAGCATTGCCTCTTCTTAAAGAGCTAAGGATTGGGCCTATCCCACAACTAAAAGAGGTACCCTCTGGCATCCACCACCTCCAAAAACTCAAAACTCTAGCGTTTATTGATATGCCGAAAGAATTCTTAGATACATTGCAACCCCAACCCAACCAAAGCAAAGACTATTGGATTGTTGAGCATATACCTAATGTCTTGTTCTGGTCTCGGTGGGGCTTTTCTGGATATTGGAACAGCGGCACTCTTCAAAAGTATTTTGAGAGGAAGGTGAAAAACCAAAGGGTTACTGAAGCTGAATAATGAATCTTACAGTTCTGAATGCAAATTCAATTCCAGGTTTGCCCCTACTCAACTCAATTCCAAAGTTTGTTTGTAACCAGAAACTGACAAAATATTTTTGCACACCTGAACAAGATGATAGTTGCTCTACTAGATTACTTTGTTGTTGTTATTTAATAATAATCTCAAAATGCTGATGTCAACGAAAATCGTGAGCATCATTATAATCTGAAAATGCTAGTGCTCGATATTAACCTATCTTTTAGAATATTGTTTATAGAATTCTATCATTTTATAGTTCCTTCCATTTGTTTGTGTTCGTTGGTTGTCATAGATAATATAGATAAGAGGGAAGTTATCCAAACTAATGTTCCATTTGTTTCAACAAAAAATATTTTTGCCACCACCACTGTCGTCATCATCGTCGCCACTGCCACTACCCTACCAGTACCACTATCACCACCACCATGACGTCCACCATCACTGCCTTAGCACCACCATTATGGGGACTAAAGTGACACTTCGCTTAAACTATAGGGAGTAATGGTGTAATTTACCCAAAATGTTTTCTATCGAAACAAATGGAGGGTTAAGTCACCTATACTTCTATTACTCATTGTTTCATTGATATGTTGCACCTCCTTACATTTAATATATGTTTTGTAATTGTTAGGTCTATTACCGGTAACACATACAGTTGAAGGAAAATCAATGGCAGAGGCACCCAGAATTCTAGTACTCCAAGCTGCCAATCACCTCATAATTGAACAAACCCCTTTCTATCACAGTTGATTTTTATTTCCTTTGGATTGCGAAGTAAAAAGTGACATCTCTGTCAAGATGGGCATGTTTGTTACGGTTTTTATTGTTTTTTGCCAAGGCAGTGTTTTGGATTTCTGTTATCAAGACTTATTTCGTGATAACCACAATTGTGTAACTTTAATTGAGGCAAACATATGATCATACATTCCTCGTTGTTGTATCTATTCTCTAAGTTCTATTTTTGTTCTTTTCTTTCTATTATTTTTATTCTTCAAATCATTGTAACTGAATTAAGTAGTATAGTGCTAACATTCTGCACAAGAATTGTAGTAACTAGGTTTAGGTTATCACTGAACCTTTATTGGTTCATCTTCCAATTCCTACTGTATTTTAGGGAGGAATTATCTCCCCAGACAATCATATGATACATAAACTGTATTACTTTGGTCTTCAAAAATTTTATTTTGTCAATTTCGTTCCAAAAGTTTTGAATTTCAGATAATCATCTAAATTTTTATTTTGAGTCAAATTTTTATTCAATTTCAGATAATCATCTAAATCATTAATGGAATGATATTTAAAACACATCCGAAAGTGAATCTCAGTGTTTGATTCCAACGGAATTGCAAGGTGTATATTTTAGAATTCATTTACATAAAATACCAGCTTTAAATTTAATTTTCATGCTACTCAAATGCTTACTTGATGAAAGATTTCTCCTAGAATATTTTTAATGTCTTAGATGAACTTAATTTTTTAATTGATTTTCAGAGCAAAAATCTATATGGTTTTGGATTTGAAATCGCAATTATTTCTTTACAGAGCCCTATATCTGTCACAATGTTAATCGGTGTCCACCTGTCCTCTCAGAAGTCGGTGTTGGTGACTTTGAATGTAGCTTCGGCTTTATTCATTTCTTCTCACCCATGGTTTAGAAAATTTTGAAAAATAAAGAAAAAATTTATTATTAAAAAAACAAAAAACACTAAATGGGCTTCCTTACTGTTTCTACAAAATGCAGAACAAATAACATCCACATCACTAGATTTTTGGTTCTCGCTAAATCTGCATCAATCCCAAATTGGTCATTTATGTAGGGAGTTTATACCAGGAAAAAAACCTAAATTGAAATTGAATAGTTTAGGACTTTAAACGGTAAACTAAATCTATACCCCAAACAACCTAATCTAAGGAAAAAATAAAAAACAATGATCAAACTTAGCTGTGATGGTAACAGTGTCATTTTAATTATATCTAACATGTAAAGGATGCACTCATCCCATCTGATGTTTTAGGCCACATAAGATTTTATGTTTAGTTCAGTAATCTGTATATTATTGCTCAATAATAGAATAAGAAAATGATTGAATACAACAAAAATAACAAACTCAAAATCCAACCTCTCCTAGAAACCCATTAATAGATACTAGTTAAGCATTGTTATGAAATTTATTTACATATAGTACCACCTTTAAAATTAATTTTCATGCTTTAAACTGTTTGGATGGTATCCTCGTGGGAGGAAAATTCCAGGGATCGCGGGAGAAAATTCTCAATAGAAATATAATGGTTTTGAAGGAAGCCTTTGGCTACTATATGGAAGCGGAGTCCAATTTTATTGGCAAACATACCATACATACATTTTGATTGGTGTAAAATAGTAGAATTTGCCATTTTAAGTGAGGCTATTACACTTTTTGAGTATGGGGTCTATATATTTGGATCAATCAAATTTTGTGTGTTTTTCATACTAAAAAAAAAAAGTGTGAATAAATTCATTATCATGGAAGTGAGACAATTATTGGGTTTGGATTTTGACACAAACAAGAATTGGTCAGTCATATTCTAATATTAAATTTAAGGCCATTTGATTTTTATTTTTGTGTTTTAATGCAGATAGCCCCTTGGGTTGTTTCTTGGCACAGTCTTGCTAGGTAGCCCCGAATTCACTGTAGCTCGAATGGCTTTCTTTTTTTTTATTCCCTTCCTCCCCCTCTCTTCTTCCTCTTCTTCCTTCCCCCTCTGCTCTACTCTTCGAAAAAATCACACTCAAAATCAAAAAAACAAACCAAATCTATACACAGATCTACACAGATCAAAAAAATCAAAATCAAAATCAAAAAAACAAACCCAGAGCAATGGAGGAAGAATGAGGAAAAAGAGGAAGAAAGAAGAGGAAAATAAATAGAAAGAAAAAAAGAGAAGAAGAGAGGAAGAAGCCCATCGTCGCCAGCACCGTTCGTTGGCCTGTGTGTATACACAGATCTGTGTATACATACACACATAGATCTGTGTGTATACACAGCCCATTGTCGCCATCACCGTTGCTCTTCGTCGCCCATGCCCATCGTCTCTCTTCCTCTCTCTTCTCTCATTCTTCTCTCTTCCTCTCTCTTCTCTCTTTCTCCTCCCTTCTCTCTTCTCTCTTCCCTCTTCTTATTTCAGAGAGGAAAGAGAGAAAAGAGGAAAAAATAAAAATAAAAAATTCAAAACGACGTCGTTTTGAATTTCGAGCCAGTTGAGCCTCGAAGTTTTCGAGCTACCAAGCTTTATTCTTTGTATTATGAGATAAATTATTAAACAAAATTGTATAACTATGCAATTAATTTCATACTTTCAATTGTATTACAGGTACATATTATGAAAAATTGAAGTGGGAAATTGATAGAAAAATATTTGTGTAATACTATATATTTAAAAAGACTTGTTCATTATTTATTGTTTAAGATAAGATTGTGATCTTAACAATCTAGTTATAAATTAATATTTATATTTATAAAATTTCTCATTTATCATTTAAAATTTTCAAACGAGTATGTGTTCATTTCTTACTTAGTTGTATATATGGATATAGATAAATTTACACATACAAATTTCTATACTTTGTATACATATTACATACTAATTTAAAAAATACACATAATTACAGTATTAATAGTTGATGAAAAATCACGCACCGCATGTAACTCATGTGCCCAAGTACTAATACATTAAAAAACAAAAAAGAAGATAGGTGCGAACAAATTTATTCCATGGAGGTGGGACAATTATTGGGTTTAGATTTTCGCATAAACAAGAATGGGTCAGTCACATACTAATATTAAATTTAGGGGCCTTTTATTTTTATTTTTATATTTTTTGTGTCTTAATGCGAATACCCTCCTTCTTGGGTTGTTCTTGGTATGAGTATTGAGGTAGAGAGTAGTTTAATCTGAAATGTGGTGATCTCTCTATTAGATTGGATTTATTTTATTTATTTTTTATGATTCATGAAACTAATTAAAATGACAGCGCCTTCATTTACGAGGTTGGTTTTGGGCTATTTTAGTCATAAAAATATAAAATAAGTTAAAAAATTAATAAGATAAAATGTCATATCCAAACTATTATTTCATTTGGGATGGACTTTTTGACTTTTTTGACTTTTATAAAAAAAAATAAATGAAATAATTATAATTTAGATATGACATTTTGTGTTATTAACTTTTTAACCTATTTTATTTTTTTGTGATTAAAATAGTCTCAAACCAACAACCCAAACATTTGTGTTGCCAACTTGGCAACTTTATGCTTTTCTGTTTGGATTTTTTTGAGCTTACAAATGCTTTGTTTAGTCTTTTTTGTAGTGGGTTATCTTACTTCGGAATCTTTTTCTTTCCCCCTTTAATGTTTCATTATTATTAATAAAATATGAAAAATTTAACCGAAAGTCCCATTTGAAAAACGTATGTAAAATTTCATGAATTTTCTTATAGATAATTAAAGTCCTATCGAATTTGAAAAGGTACATCATGCAATTATTTCACTATATTTCTTAGGGATTCTTAGGTGATACTACGTTGATTTCCAAATGTGGGTATATTTTATTTGTGCACTATTATGTTATTAAACTATTGTCAAATGTATGTTTTTAAAATTTGACAATAGAATATTAATCTAATGTGTGGACTATTATTTTATTAAATTTTTGCAAAATGTGATACTATGGTTAGTTTTCAAATATAAGTATGCTTTATTTGTGTGTACTCTATTGTCTTATTAAATTTTTGTTAAATGTGTAATTCTTAAAATGATAAATTATGCAAATAGTCCATTTAGTTTACATGATGTGTCAATTTGGTCCCTATAATTTTAATTTGCTCGATTTTGCTCCTTAATTTAACGGATAGTGTTATTTTAGTCCAATAAATAACGATTGTTAAGTTAATTTGACGAAAGGTCAAACAATGTGTCAATTTGGTCCATGTACTTTACAGGATGTGTCAATTTGGTCCTTATAGTTTCTATTTTCTTAATTTTGACAATGACTAAATTGGCACATTGTGAAAAATATATGGATCAAATTGAAACATTGTTTGACTTTCTGTTAAATTAACTTAACAATCGTTATTTATTGGACTAAAATGACACAATCCGTTAAATTAAGAGGCAAAATTGAGCAAATTAAAACTACATTGACCAAATTGACACATTGTGTAAAGTACATGGACTATTTGCATAATTTTCCTTTCTTAAAATGTAACAATGGGACCTAATGTGACAACTATGATTTTTCAATTTGAAATTTCATATTCAATACACATTGTACGTTTTGAAATGCAGGTAAGCTTCATTTGTCAGATTTTAATGCAAAATAAGACTTATGGGATCACAAGAATATTTATTTGATTAAATGGTTATAAATTATGAATATATGATTTATTAGTAATTGCCTGATAAAATATTATCCTTTTCTGCCCCCCCCAAAAAAAAAAATAGAAAAACAAATTTTGAAAAATGAAGGCCAAATAAGCACTTATGCTTTAATTAAAGATATGTGTGAAATTGAATTTTCAATTGAGACAAAGCCACGCCCTACTAAGATATTTGGAGTGAAAGTGACTTCATTGAGATGGATTAAATGTACCTAGACCATTTCCTAATAAATTTACTAAACTTCATTTTCAAAGGAAAGAGAGATCAAAGAGCCACAAAACTTCTTAGAGTGTGATTGTGATTGTGATTGTGTCGATCTATGTTTGTGTGGAAATCTTGGTACACCACGGTTGCAAATGAATGTGGAAATGCAAGCCTCAACTGAGCAATCATCAAAGCAGCACAAAATACCTAATGCATGGAACACACCAACTAGAGTGCTAACTGATCTTGAGCAGTGGCCAAAATTGGCCATTGTTTCCCCACTGGCGGCAAATGAAATGATAATGTCAAAGAAACTTGGCTCACCCAATGCTGACCAAAGGAGAGAAGTAATTGATACCAAG